GGACAGGATATTACTTCAGAGTCAGGATTGCAAGCGGCCTTCCAACTAAGGGTGGTTTAAGAAGCAAAATGTTGGAATGGCTTTTTTTTTTTTTAAAGACACAAATTAATGGTATCTGAAGCATCTCATAAGAAGAGTGGTTCTGTGAAAAGAGTTGGCTGGAAACCTCTTGAGTGAACGTTCAATATTTCCTTAGAAATCAATCTGGGGGGGAGAAATGAGATCTCCATGAAAATGTAGGCATTAAAGCTCCCTTCCCTAGAGAATTTTTTTTCCCCTGCTTTATAAATTGTCCCGACATAAATCGAAGAGCAATCCAATCACTTTGACTAGACTGCAATCCTGCAGCAATTCAGTTGATGCCATCACATAATATTCTCCAATTTGGTGCTTTTCAGATATAGAATAGAGTAGAATAACAAAGTTGGAAGGGACCTTGGAGGTCCAACCCCCTGCCTAGGCAGGAAACCCTACACCACTTCAGACAAATGGTTATCCAACATCTTTTTAAAAACTTCCAGTGTTGGAGCATTTACAACTTCTGGAGGCAAGTTTAATGGTTCCCATTTTCAGGAAACTTATCCTTAGTTCTAAGTTGCTTCTCTCCTTGATTAACTAATCCATCCATTGCTTCTTTTTCCTGCCTTCTGGTGCTTTGGAGAATAGCTTGACTCCCTCTTCTTTGGGGCATCCCCTGAGATATTGGAAGACTGTTATCATGTCTCTCCTAGTCCTTCTTTTCATCAAACAAGACATACCTAATTCCAGCAACCGTTCTTCATGTTTTAGCCTCCAATCCTCTTTGTTGCTCTTCTCTGCACTCTTTCTAGAGTCTCAACATCTCTTTTACATCGTGGTGACCAAAACTGGATGCAGGATTCCAAGTGAGGTCTTACCAAGGCATTATAAAGTGGTATTAACCCTTCACGTGATCTTGTTTGATATGTACGTGATATGTTCGATGTTGATTTCTTTTCTTTAGGGTTTCTTTTGTTCTCCCTTTCAGATTAAAACAGAAGACCTCAGTGAGTCCTTGCAAACATCCCTCTCCTCCAGAATAGGCCACCTAGCCCAAGGATCTTCCATGATGCCTGGAGGACAAATTCCTGGGGTAAGAAATAGCACTCTTCACACATTCAAGCCCAGAGGACAAGTTCAAGAATAGGGGTTTCCTAGGAGGTCTGTTCTGAAGGCCCTTGGAGCACTTTAGTCTAAGATAATTTGACTCTCTGATCCACGTTTGAATGAAATCGGTTGAGCCATCTTAACACGGATGGCAGGAAGGACATTCTGGTTACATAAGTAGAAGAAAGTCTAGGGATGGGATCTTTTCTGGAGGATTATTTGTCGCTTAAGAAGGATTGTCCTAAAGGTGCTTTTTTCAACTGAGCTGAAGAAGCTTCTTGGATGAGAAGCGAAAGGTCTTCAAGGAAAAACAAAGAAAGTCCAGTTGCCTTTTGAAAAAGCCTGGATGACTGAGAATCTAGCCATAGACATTTAGATATGCACTTAAGTGGGAGTGTTATATTGTTATATGCATGGCGTGGAGTGTGTGTGTGTGTGTGTGTGTGTGTGTGTGTGAAATACCACTCACGCATTGTCACAAAATCTCCATAACCGTAAAGCCTACAAACTTGAAATTTGGCACGTATTTTCCTCTTGGCTTCTAGGTGCTCACTAAGAAAGGATTTTTCGAAATGACCATCAGAGCATTTAGAGTATTTCCTATATTATTATTATTATTAACACGCTCTGATGCTAAGGAGTTCTACTCCCCTTCCCCACCTGAAAAGAAATCTCTTCCAAAGGCAAAACACAAGCAGAGGAGAGGAGTTTCAGTTTCGGTTTTACAACCAAGCAGCTTTAGTACAGAACAGTTGAGCTAAGCCATGCCCAGACTCCTTGCTGTCTCCTTTTTGCTCACACGGCAAATACTGTTTCCGTTGCCATGTTTCCGTTTCCAAACAGCCCTCAACTCTCTCACACACTGACAGGACGCTAGCCAGATGAATGCCGATGGATGTTGGTAGGCAGAGGCACAATTTTTTTTCTTATTTTCCTCCCCAAAAACTAAACCCAACCACATAGTTTCATAGCGAAGCATAGGTATCCAGCTAGTCGAAATATATTTCTTACTTTCTCATCATGATGTTATCCAAGAAGGCTGCAAGATTTAAGGGGAACGTGAATGCAAACTGCCTTTCTTGAATTCATGGACAAAAGACATGGCTTTCGGCCTGGGCATTTATGGCTATCGGCATTTGTAAGTCAGGTTCCAGATGCAACTTTGAAAAGCTCTTGCTCCTCTATAATCTATAATCTATCATCTTAGAATCATAGGACTGGAGGTCAACTAATCCAACCCTTTGCCCAAGGCAACCATTCTCGGACAACCATTGAGCCCTGTGAATAATATTTCACAAGAAGAGTTCTCCACTCCTCTACTCGTTGCAGAATACCTTATGCCACCAGACTCGAAATTCTAGACCTAGACAACCTAGAACTACGCCGCCTTCGGTCCGATCTAAGTATAGTACATAAAATCATACATTTCAATGTCCTACCTGTCAATGAATACTTCAGCTTCAACCATAACAACACAAGAGCACACAATAGATACAAACTCAAGGTAAACTGCACCAAACTTGATTGCAGGAAATACGACTTCAGCAACAGAGTGGTCAATGTCTGGAATACTCTACCTGATTGTGGTTTCTTCCCCAAACCCCAAAAACTTTAACCTTAGACTGTCTACTATTGACCTCACCCCTTTCCTAAGAGGTCTGTAGGGGGCGTGCATAAGCGCACCAACGTGCTTACCGTCCCTGTCCTATTGTTTCTCTTATTCTTTTATTTTTCTTATATGTACCCATTTCATGTATTCAAAACCATGTCTATACTTATACCTGTTATCTAATAATTGCTTGACAAAATAAAATAAATAAAAATTTAAAAAATAGTACAGCTGGATAGCAGATTGTACAGATAGTCCTCGATTTACAAGGAGTTCATTTAGTACCCGTACGAAGTTGCAATGGCACTGGAAAAAGTGACTTATGACCGTTTTTTCACACTTACGACCGCCGTACCGACCCCATGGGCAGGTGATCAAAATTCAGATACTGGCCAACTCACTCATATTTATGGCCATTGCAGCATCCCTATGGTCACGTGATCAAGATTCGGACCAGCTTGGCAACTGACTCATATTTATGACGGTTGCTGGGTCCCTGGGTTACGTGGTTCCCCTTTTGTGACCTTCTGACGAGCAGACTCGATGGGGAAGCCATATTTCTCTAACAACCATGTAACTTAGTTCACATCTGCAGTGATTTTGTGGCAAGACGGGTTGTAAAACAGGGCAAAGTTCCCATAACAACCATCTCGCATAACAACATAACTTTTGGGCTCAGTTGTTGTTGTAACTCGAGGACTGCCTCTACTACGCGAAAGAAACTATAATGTGTCCTAACTTTTGAGGGATGGGCCACCTTTCCTGGGTCCAAGATCTAATTTAGCCTTTGAGTGGAAAAAGGACACTCTCCCCCAAAGAGGGCGGGACCAGAGAACTAAATTTAGTCTGCCTTTCATTTATATTTAAATTTAATTAAAATTAAACCAAGTAAAGATGATTACTCTCCAGTCATGCTTAATAATGCCTCAATATTTTCCACTCCTTGTGTCACATTCAGAATCAGAGTTTGGGGCCACACCTTTCTGAGAAAGCCAGACCAATACAGAAGCCCAGGCATTCAGGCAAAGAGCCTGGCTTGTTTTGGCTTTCGGGTATTGTGTGAACCCGGTCTGGGATTAGGAGAAAGGGGTTATCCTGCAAAAAGATGTGGAGACTCTAGAAAAAGTGCAGAGAAGAGCAACCAGGATGATTAGGGGACTGGAAGCTAAAACATATGAAGAACAATTGCAGGAACTGGGCATGGCTAGTTTGGTGAAGAGAAGGACCAGGGGAGACATGAGAGCAGTCTTCCAATATTTGACAGGCTGCCACAGGGAGGAGGGGGTCAAGCTATTTTCTAAAGCGCCTGTAGGCCAGACAAGGAATAATGGATGGAAACTGAACAAGGAGAGATTCAACCTGGAAATAAGGAGAAACTTTCTGACAGTGAGATCCATCAACCAATGGAACAGAAGTTGTCTTCAGAAGTTGTGGGAGCTTCATCACTTGAGACTTTCAAGAAGAGATTGGACTGCCATCTGTCAGAAATGGTGTAGGGTCTCCCGCTTGGGTGGGGGGTTGGCCTACAAGGTCCCTTCCAACTCTGATTATCTGTTATCTGTTAAAAAAAGACCTTGGTTAAACAAACAATGGCTTGGTTCAATGAGGGCTGTATGGCCTGGTCTTCCAGTGTTGATCCTCAAGCTAAAAGCAAGTTGGCCATGGCCACGCCTTTGTTGTGGACTGCCAGTGGCTGGTAGAGCCAGCAGCAGATTCAGACAGTAATGAGGAGGCTGGGGAAGAACCCAGGCCAGTCCTGGAGGCTGAGGAAGGCTTGGATGAGGGCTCGGCATCAGAGGCAGAGGTGGGGGCCAGGGCAGGCTGGCAGCCATCAGTTAGCTGCCTTCGGGCTCAGACAGCAGTGAGGCAGAGGAGCTTCTGGAACCGGTTCCTAGCCTGCACATGCGCAGAACTGCCAAAAGGAAGGCACAATTAAGAACTCAGGGTCGATGTGAGGGTAAGGCCGCAGGTGGGTGATGAATGGCCCCTCCCATCAGGATTAAAAGAGAAGCAAAAGGGGAGGAGGCATTCATCGTCCACCTAAGTTCTTAATTGTGCCTTTCTTTGGGCAGCTCTGTGCATGTGCAGGCTGGGAACCGGCTCCAGCTGCTCCTCCACCTCACTGCTGTCCGAAGGCAGCTGATGACTGCCATCCTGCCCTGGCCCCATCTCTGCCTCTGATGCAGAGCCCTTGTCTGAGCCTTCCTCAGCCTCCAGGAATGGCCTGGGTTCCTCCTCAGCCTCCTCACTAGTGTCCAGCTCTGCTGCCAGCTCTGTCAGCTGCCAGTGGGCCACCACACCATTTACGAATGTCTTGTTATTTGGGAAAGAGGAAGAGAAGAAAGCAGAAAGCAGAAGAGGGACAGTTGCCCAGTGATGGGTTAGCTGTGGAAAGGTGTCCTAGTACCTGACTTGTCTTCTTCTCTTTCAGAATGTGAATTCTCTTCATACTTTGCAGCAACTCGTGCAAGTCCCAGGGCCTATGCAGTCTGTCCCACTATTCTTGCTTTCTCAAGGCCCAGCAGGACAACAAGGTAAGGTGAACATCTCTAGATGTTGGTTGGGTGTCTATAATGTCTATGTCTGATGTCTATAAGGTGTTTTTCAGACTTGGCCACTTTAAAATGTGTGGACTTCTTAAAGTCTGAGAGTTGAAGTCCATGCATCTTGGAGTCGCCAAGTTTGAGAAACCCCGGTGTAGATGCTGTTCCCTAGTCCTGAGATATACCACCAGACCCTCAAGTCAAGAATTACTTCTTTGAGCTCCTTCACCTTTTTCAGAGGTCCAAGAGTCCAAGGTTTCCTCCAGGCTACAGCTAATCAACCTTGTTCAGGAGATGCTTAACTAAAGCCTTTTGATCCTTCCGGGAGCTTCCCGGCAACATAGAGGAGAAAGTGGAACTGCTCCAGTGATGATTGCTAAACCTCTCAGGGACTCTCCTGGATAGCAAGATAGCTACACCAGATGTTCTCCAGCTTGGAGAACACCCACCTTTCAAAAATTCCCCTCGACAAACTTGCAGCAGAATCCCTGGTCCCAGATAGACACCTTCTACCCAGCCTTAATCTCAAGACTACCGAAGGACCTCAAGTTCAGGAGATCTTATTTCCGTGAGGACAACATTGCCCCTTTACCCAACCAGATTTCTGATAACACAACAGCTGTATTTGCTCATTCGCTATCAGGTTAGGGATGAACATGGTCTTATTAGGAAAAGATCTGGCATTTCAGAATCCAAGATCACCAGCAACCCAGCCCACTGAGACCAAGAATTTGGGCGATCCACCAAAGAGCTCATTTCTCCTGCCCTGGAGTGGCCAGCTCAGCATGGTTGTTTCTTCTGCTTCCTGGTATCTCCGACGACTTGAAAAAGCAAATGGTTTCAGAGCCAAAGTTCAGGAGTCTGCTGTGATGCCTGGAGCCACGGAGCCACAGTTCCATGAGCCACTGTCAATCTTCTTTGGGGAATGGATGATATCGCCACTCATCTTTCTCTGGCCAAACCCTTCCCACCCCACAGGAAGAGACCCAGATAGGCCGAAACAAGTCACCCTACAGCTCGGAAGCAAAGCCATGGGGCTAATTTTTTTTTCCTTACGTCTGACTCATTTAGATCCTATCTGTCTCGACTGTTGTAAAGGGATTAAACAATGGTGTGGAGCAGTTACCAAGCCTTTCCAGAGCCATGGCAGGGCTTGTGAGTCTAATTGTGCTGACAAGCGTGCCCCTGATTTGCAAGTTTCCAGGCACATGAAACTCAAACCAGTTCCTGCCCTGTGGTGGTTTCAACAGTTCTGTTTTGTTTCCTTTCCTCTGGAGACATGACATCAGGAGCGAAGTGAGGGTTTTGCTGAAGGAGGCGCAGGATCAGGATTGCGCAGACCAGGAGCAGCAACGCAAAGTTAATTCGTGGTGACTCAGTTTTCAGCGACAGAACGAAGGACAGAACCAACCTAGACCTCAAGAGAAATTTCCTGACAGTTAGAACAATTAATATCTCAGGGGCTGCCCCAAAGAAGAGGGAGTCAAGCTATTCTCCAAAGCACCTGAAGGCAGGACATGGATGGAAACTAATCAAGGAGAGAAGCAACCTAGAGACATTTCCTGACAGTGGAAACAATTAATCCGTGGGACAACTTGCCTCCAGAAGTTGTAAATGCTCCAACCCTGGAAGTTTTTAAGAAGAGATTAAATAACCATTTGTCAAAAGTGCCTAAGCAGGGGGTTGGTCTAGAAGACCTTCAAGGCCCCTTCTAACTGTGTTATTCTGTTATATGCTTTCCAACACACCCTGGTGTGTTGCATGCCGCTTGGCTCGGTTTTCACCTCTCTCATGGGTAGAAGGAATAGCTTTGAGAAACAGGGGGAAGAATTGCTAGCAAGACAGCTGTTGGATAAAAGAAACTGAGTCCAGGGCAGAAACGTAATTTGAGAAAATGTCTCAGCCTAATCAAAGAGAGAACCAACCTAGAACTAAGGAGAAATTTCCTAACAGTGAGAACAATTAACCAGTGGAACAACTTGCCTCCAGAAGTTGTAAATGCTCCAACATTGGAAGTTCTTAAGGAGAGATTGGACAAACATTTGTCTGAAATGATATAGGGGCCCCTGCTTGAGAGGGGGTTGGACTAGAACAGTGGTCACCAACTGGTGGACTGGGGACCACTGATGGTCCATGAGAAAATTTTGGTGGTCCACAGAGAAATTCCCCCCCCCCAAAGCAATTAATCCAGGCTGCACGGGAACACAAGGCTGTGCCGCCCACATGGCCCTCAGGAACACAAGGCTTGTGTCACTTGCATTGCGAACAACACGAGGTAGTGAGGGGAGGAGGGAAAGGGCAGAGGGGGGGAACTTGCCCCACTCACCCCACGTGCCTCACCTGGCCACCAGGTTGCTTCTTTCTGCTTCTTCCTTCTTCTGCTTTTGGCTGCATGCAAGGAAAGCAACAAAGGTCTTTCTTTCTCTCCCCCAAACTCTGCCGGAAATGAGTCTTTGGACCCTGCACGGCCTCCTGCTCCAAGATGCTGCATCCATTCTGGTGGAGTTTGGGGGAGAGAAGGAAAAACTTATGCAGCTTCTGCTGCTTTCCTTGCATGAAGCCAAAAGTCTCTCTCTCTCTCCCTGAGAACGGAGCTGGAGACGGTATCCTGCGATCCCAAATAAAGAAAGATCGATGGGTAGGAAAACGGGGTGGGGAATTTTCCTGCAGACTTTTTTTAGGATTTTTTCAGGGTCTCTGGTCCACCGGATTTAAAATTATGGTTTGGTGGTCCCTGAGGTCCAAAACATTGGTGACCCCTGGACTAGAAGACCTCCAAGGTCCTTTCCAACTCTCTTACACTGAAGGAGATGAGATGGGTGAAAAAGTACAAATGATGGTGCCAGCCGAAATGCAGCTGAAATGTGAGCCATCTCGACTTGCCACACATGTTGTGCAACCAGTAGAGTTCAGGCCATAGCCCTTTTTTTTTTTTTAATAAATGCACCCAACCTGCTTTCGCTTCACACAACAGTTCCTGGTGTTAATAGAGGAGAAGGAAGACACCAGCCAATTTGTCTGTTTGGTGGCAAGCAATTCAAAGCGTGGATGACTTCAGGAGCTGTTGCTTCATCTTTGTCGTCGAGTCGCCTCCAGCAAATTGTCTTATTGTCCCAGCCACGTGCCTGTGAGACAGGGATTGTGGCATTTGACTTAACTTGCCCCAACCTGGCTGGGAGGGGTGGGAGATGTGATGCAACATGTGGGGTGGGTAGATGCTAGACAAGTAGGTCCTTGACTTATGTCCTCAGTGGGTTGGGCTTGGTGGAACCAAAGCATCCGACCGAATTTTTCTCCATCTCTTTCAGCTCTCCAATCGAACCTTCTCTCCTTCCCTCAGCAGCAAAGTGGACTTCTGCTTCCACAGCAGGGACACAGCTTAGCATCTCAGGTAAGTCCCATCCACTGACTTGCTCCTGTTGTCATTACAAGGGTTGTCATTGGATGAAACTCGGTTAAACTGAGAACCAACTTAGAACTAAGGAGGAATTTCCTGACAGCGAGAACAATTAACCGGTGGAATGGCTTGTCTCCAGAACTTGTGGGTGCCTCCGTCATGGGGGGGGTTAAGAAGAGAGTGGAATAGGGTCTCCTGCTTGAGCAAGGGGTTGAATTAGAAGAAGAGGAGGAGGAGGAGGAGGAGGAGGAGGAGGAGGAGGAGAAA